ACACGGACTTCACAGCATAAAAGCTGCTGTTTTGCCTCCACTGTATAAATTTCCCCAGAGATCTGTTGTAGTCATCTGTGACCTGGGGCCATGTGAAGAAGCTAATTCTGAAAATGAAGGCCCTGGCAGCTAAGTTGACCAGTGCAAGACAACTACACAGTGCTGCTTCCAGGTTTTGGCCTCTGACAGAGCATGCTCTATGGACCCTTGCCAGAAGAAAGCAGCCCATGAACCCTTCTGAGTCTTCCTTCTTTCACTTGTTACCTAGTTTCAAATGCCCACTCTTATACACAGACTGTCACGAACTATGGATTCAATAGAAAGATGTTGTCTGAGAAGGTTGGTGTTAGATTGTACCCACTACCTCCTTGCCAGTAGCATTCTGACACAAGCAGAGTGACTGGTGGTTCAGCCAGGCACTTTGGGTGAGCGAGGACATAACAGTACATGTCGGCTTGAATCACTGTTCAGGGAATGTTTCAGGATTTTGGTCTTGTTGCTGTGACGAAACATCTGGCAAAGGCAATGTTAAGGAAGGGAAGATTAATTTTGATTCACAGTCTGAGTGTACAGTCCATCACGGCAGGTGAGGCATGGCTGCAGGAGCTTGAGGCTGCCAATCACAGCATCAGCAGTCAGGGAGCAGAGTGAGGAACCCTGCTCCTCTAGCCTTCTCCTTTTTACTCACTTAGGGTCCCCAGCCCACGGAATGGTGAGGTCCACACTTGAGATGGGTCTTTCCCACATCAGTTAACCTAATTGAGTCAATCCCTCACAGGCCTGTGTAGAGGATAATGTCCTATGTGATCAACTTCTGTCAAGTTGACAAAATTCCCATCCAAGGGAATTTCTGCAGGTGGGTGGTAACGTGAGGGCTCGGTTGGTTGTCAGGTGGGTAGAGTGCACCTTGGGGCTGAGCTTAAGTCCTTCATGGCAAGGCAATGGGGTCCAGGTTCCTATGACTGGGATGAAGCTGCCTACAAACTAGAGTGCTTGCGTGGTAGCCTGGCTCCCATATTTATGGTCAGACAAGAAGAAAGATGAAGAAAAACTTACCTATTTCTCTAGCTGCCCAAAGGAGTTACTGCCAGCATTTTGGTGGGACCCTCTATTGTCTTTTTCCTAATTCAAGAATCACATCTTAAAAAAAAGAGAGAACCATACATTATATGATATTTTGTAACTTTTTTCTCATCATTAATATTTCTCTGTAGCATCATTTATGCCAGTTGGATTTTCTTATGTTGATCTGCCCTAGTTTATATGAGGAATGGCTAAGAGACAGGTAGAAGCCTGACTTCTGGGGTTCAAGTCCCACACTTACTGCCTGGGAAAACATGAGCAAGTAAACAGTACATTCTGTCTATATTTTTCTCCCTTGTAATATGGGAACAGAAACACTTCACAGGGCTGAGCTAAAGAGCAAGCAACTTCACATGTATGAGACACAAAGACACAAACAATTTTGAAATATTATTATTTAACCAACACGTTGTTATTTAGATTGTTTTCATTTTTTTCCAGTCACATAAATACACGGCAGTTCTTGTTTGCAAAGGAAGTATTTGTGCTCACGGAGTAGAATCTTATCCAGAGTAAGCCACATCTTAGTAGACTTTGAGTGTCCATATACACAAAGCAACTGTTCACTTTCTTACGATGTAAGAAGTGTGTGTGGCATGCACACAGGTCCAATGCTGTGTGGCAGGCTTGGCACAGGGAAAGAGTTGGGGAGCAGGAGGAGAAGAGACAAGACTTGTAGCTAGGGTCAAAGCTGTCAGCGAAGGAGAGGCAGGCTGCTGCTTCTGCTCCTGCCACCTCCCACATTCCCACATCACAATTCTAAATGGTCTCTGGTGGGTGGAGAACTTGTTACCTTGCAGAAGAACACTCAGGGCTGGGTTCCAAAGTTAGAAAGCGGGATATGGGCGTACTTTGGAGACCAAATATTTAGGAAATAACCTTTTCTGGGAAGGAAAGAACACATTAACAGCTGAGAAATGAAAAATGGAAGTGAAGCAGCATGGAGCTAATGTTTGCCCGTTAGGTTTCTACACTGCCTTCTTATAGAAAAGTCAGGCTGTCAATCAAACCTGTGATCCCCCCCCCCCCCACACACACAAGTGCTTGGTTCTCAAGTCCACAGCATTTTGTGAAATATATTTTGCAGTCAGTTCTTGAAACTCTCCCCCCTGCCATGTCACCCCTGGCCATCTTCTCAGCAGAGAGCAGGATAATACAAGAAACATGAATTTGGTGTCAGGTTCTCCTGGACTAAGTCCCAGTTGGGTGCCCCTGGCCATGGAACATGAGTTTTAGTTTCCCTTGTCTGTAAAATAGAGACAATAATTCCTACCTTATGATGTAGCAGTGAGCATTCAGCAAGGCAATGCCTCTAGGGCATTACTCCATGGCTAGCACAGGGTATGTGACATTAGCATCGCTCTTCTTGTGCCACAGGATGCAATGGGAATGCAAACCGATTTTATTATTGGCTTATGCAATCAGCTACACTCGGCCTTGAAATGCAGTCCAATAATCTCCCCAAATGGGGCTGCGTAATTTCTAATTCTCTTTCTCAGACTGGAGGTTGAAAGTTGGGTAATCGCATACCAGGAGGGCAAAGGTACACCCCTTATAACAATAACAGCAACAACAAACAATTAGATCACTATTGACATAGACTCAAGATGATAGAGTTTAATACTTTCTGGGGATGGGGGGTCTTGAATTTTAATTTTGTGCCAAAGGAACCAACTGAACAAAGGAAGATGAGGAGTGGTAAGGTTTTTAGGTCTTAAGCTGTGGCCAGGGAGGCAATTTGAGATGATGTAGCCAGTGGTACTCCTGAAGCTCCTGGGGCATTCATTCACTCATCCATTCACTTAACGTGAATGTATTAGGTACCTGCTACCTGTCATACATACTGATGAACAAAATGGACAAGACATCTATCTGCCTTTAAAAACTCTGAGGGCAGGGGTGGGGTGGGGGTATGGGGGAGACAGAGAAGGGTGGTGGTGGAGAAAACAAAGTAACAAACTGAACTATACACTGTTATCCAGGGAAGAAGTTACTATGTCAGAAGAAAAGTATAGGAAGATGAGAACGGCTGGTGAGGGTTGTCAGGCTGCAGTGTTTACTCGGGGGGTCACTGAGGTGAACTCTGAGCAAGGTCTCCAAGGAGTGAAAGCATCTTCTAAAGAAGATGTCTAAGGCAGGAACACTGCAGGAAGTAGGGGCAAGTCGAGCAGGGAGAGGGGATCATTTCCGGTGTGCTTGGAGAAGCCGCAAGGGAAACGGAGCTGGAGGTCGGACTTAGACATCCATGCAGTCCTTGTAGGTTATTGTGACTTTTACTGAAGTGACAAAGAGGCCACTGGATGGTCTGGGTTAGAACAGCACCATTTTAAGTGGGCTGTTCCAACTGCTGTGTGGAGAACGTACCTGAGGAGAGGAGGGTGACCAGAGAGAACCAGCAGTTACTGGCTCAGCCCCGGAAGCGGGCAGCAGAAAAAGTGAGGGGAAGGTCACACTGCCTTTTGTCTAACGTGAATTCCACGATACACTGATGTGCGCCTGTGAGAGAAATCAAGTCAAGATGACGCCAGGGTTCTTACATGAGCGGCTAGAGGGGTCAGCTGAGTTGGGGAAAGGCTGTGCGAGGAGCAGGCCTGGCTATCCGAGGTTTCATTCTCAAATAGACAGGGCAAGTTGGCTGGCGTCTGGTTCAGAAAAAGGTCTAGATTGAAGATTTACAGCTGACAGAGCCCCTTGCTTAAAGCCATGTGGACAGACCATAGGGCCACTTAGGGAACCTGGAGCCAGGGAGTGAGGCAGTCTCAGGGCTGCTATCTAGACCGGGTTTCCCAGTGGTAGGCCCTCCCAGAATGGGCTCACCAGCCCCATCTAGAGGGTCGTGCCTGCAGGAGGTGCTTTGGATAAACTGTGGCGGCGGGTGTCGGAGAGAAGTGCTTCATAGCTCCCCGCCAGGGTGGCAGAAATTATTAAGAGACGTAGGTAAAGGTACACTGGCAGAACACGTGCTCGCCTGCCCCAAAGGAGGGAGCAAACCTGCCGGTATTAATCTGTTCAGACATCTGGGCACCACCGCTGCCCGGCCCCCGAGGCTCCGCCTCTTGGGCTCTTTCTCTCTCCCCGCCCATCTGCCCATCCTCGCCCGTGTGTGTCACTTCTACAACCGCTCCGATTGTAATTGATCAACAGAATCCCGGCTCCTTTTGCTGTTCCGTTCGGTCGATGTGAAAAGAGGCCGGGGAGTTGGGCACATTGTAGTCCGTGGTCCCGGG